AAATATACGTGTATGACTTGATTTGTCTGGATCTTTTAGAGCTCTTTAGAATTTTAAATAAATTGCGCACTTCCTTTTTTCTTTTCTTTTTTTCTTATGCAATCTTTTAATGAAATTACTTGTCATTTTCGTCCCATGCTTTAAAAATCATTTTTTAAAGCTTGTAATGTAAAAAGTAAAATAACAAAAATACCGAACTCTGAGGAAAATTCTAAACGGAAAGTCCCTAATCAAATGGCAAAATCAAAAGCTCAAACACATCAAACGAATGGATAACAACTGTCATATTCCTGACTTGGTAAAGACATTTTCTTATGCATGGTGGATTAAACCTGGTTTTATAGCCATGATAGCTAGCTAAACCTCTCACTTGTATGACAGTCGGATAAAAATTCCATTATATTGACAAAAATGTGTGAACAAAACAAACAGACATAATAGGTATAAATGTCAAAATTAGGGGTACAGCAGTCAACATTGTGTTATAATCTCAATCACTATAAAAACAAACAAATATATCTACAAAGAAAAACAAAAAGGCATGTCGACAAAGCACATTAGCAAAAACGAAAGACAAAATTACAAAAAATTACCATAGCACAAAAATACAATGACGGGATGTATAAGTACCGAGCCACGTCAAATGGGTAAATACCAAAAATAGAATAAATAGTAAAAGTAATACTTTACAAAGACAAATAATAGAACACTATAACATGTATTTGAGATGATAAACAACGTAAGTACCTAGAATCTAATCTTCAAGACCATCGTGTATTGTTTATGAAGTTGATACGGAATATAATTTATCAACAAGGTCTTGGTATCTTCCGATGAACTTTTTTAGAAAAAGGACGAGACGTTCTTTGATATAACCCTGGTTCATCAACTTTCTGCACAGACACTGGTGACGTTTTACAAAGTCTGAGTAGCAGCTGCAAGCTCTTGAATACCGAATGAGTTGGGAAATGTATATCCCATATGCAAACAGTACATATCTTTACCAATTTGACAATTAAAAATGTTCGTATTGATCATTGATCTTTGATCCTTAACTTCATTCATACCACATCCATTAAGTTGTCTACGGTATGAAATTAGTACTATCCTTCGGACTACTTCCGTTCGGCAGTAACACTCTTGCTAAAATGGGACGTCCGTTTGGGTATGCGGGATGTACAAATACGCAGCCACGTATGATCGCAATTGGTACGTTAAATCTGCTTTGTCTAGAGAGTGTGCCAATGAACTCTTGTAACAACTTTTTGATGGATCCGTAGATGTCCCATAGACGGGTACTGCTCCATACACAAAATACCATCATTTTCAAGTAGCACTTGAAATTCTCGTCCTTCATCCTTGTCGATCAACCTTTGCATAACCTACGTTTTGCATAATTTGTTAATTTGTTCTCGTCCGGAATATGCATGAAATATTTGTCACTGAACTTTAAGCAAACAACAATCAAATCATAATATCACAAACATATACAGACAAATATGACAATTCTTTTTCATTTTTTACACTGTCAACCACTTTACTCGCCAATATAAAGCCATAATAGGCTAACTTCGCATTAGGATGTCAGAAGTGAGAAGACTAAGAATGTGAGAAAACGTGAGAAAAGTTTCCAATACTACTATTGACAAAATAATTTATTTTCTTTCACTATACGCATGTACTTAGGATTTATTTTTGGATTTGCAAGCGATGGGACTAGCTTACCTGGTGATTGTTATTTTAAAAGCCGTGTTAGTGCACTGAAATTATGTTTTTTTTTTAATCGCTGGGTCAATTGGTGGTGGATTAACACGTGTCCAGTGCTTCTTTGCATGGTTCAAATGATACACTTTTTTCTGTAAATTTCCAGTCCATACAGTTATGTTATTGTGTTCAAGTAGTGCAGAAAACTGCTAATCAGCAATTACTATAAGAACACACTATTTTTTTCCCGTAGAACATACACTCCTGAAAATTCACTGCAGGTTTATTAAGTTTGTATTAAAAACCTATTCCTGGTTTACTCAGTTCTGTGGAGTTAAATGCAAAATTAGAGACAAGAATCATGAAACTATATGGTCCGAGTACACAGTTATTTCGTAGTGCATTTCTTTTAGACAATAAATGAAAATTAAAAAAATCCCACATGCGCTTTCTCAATAATATTTTTACAGTGTGTTGTACTACTTTTGGGACAAATTATATCAAAATTATAGAAAACTTCATCGGCTCTAACTCAAAATATGGACAATTTTATGTTAAGGGGGTCTTCAAATCTTTTGACAGCTTCCGAAGTGCTAATTTTTAACATTTTTCAGCTGGACCAAATCACTACTTTACTTTAAAATTCATGACCCAATTTTTTTTACAGTGTCATTTCACCCCCCTACTTGCTATTTGAGTCATAAAACATGGAGAAATAAATTTGGAAGGGGTATAAAAAAAAATGGCAAGTAACACACTGTCAACACTAGGGACTACATTTGTGGACAACGAAAATCAAAGGACGATAACTGTGTACTCGGACCTAATAGGGTAGAAAAAGTTGACCAATCTTAATGAAACTTGGTATGACCAAAGCTTAATAAATTATAAGACTGCCTACAAAGTTTCATGGCAATAGGACATATATTATAGACAATATGACTAATTCTATATTCAACTTTGCGTGTTAAATGTAGACGTTAAAATTGAAAAATTTCAACTATCAACATTTGGGGCTTAAAAAATTTAAATATTGCAAAAAAATACTTTTGAAATGCCTTAATATATAAAATATTATGTATTAAAAGCAATTGAGTACTCATTTGATTTATCAGACTTATCATAATTATAAAAAAGTCAAATTTATATGAGCCTGTGCCTAAAAATGGAGGTTTTCCAATGAAGGGGGGCCTTACATGAAGATGTAATATTTTCCAGCAATTTTAAATTTGTAAAGCTTTTTGGTTATAAATAATCCTTACATATATATTTAATGTACTTTAAATGGAAAGAAAACTCACAAATAACATATCATATTAGTTTAAAAGGGTCTTAGGCCAAGTAAGACTGAAAATAATTTAGGGTCAATTTAGGCCGTAGCACATATTTACATTTAAAAATGCATATTGAAGCTATAGGAAATAAAAATTTATGTCTTTTCTATCATTTCTATACTCAGGTGACATGATACAATAAATCTGAGCACAAAAAGACTCTTGCATTCAACTTTTTTTGCTGACAGTATGGTCTGATACAAAGATTTTTCACTTTTTAGTGAAAAACATGCATGCAATTTTAGTCGCAACAAGCTTATATTTGAACCACTTGCTATCCTACAGAAGAAAAGAAAGATATTATGTGACATGAAACAGGTACAAAAGACATTGTTAAGTGCTTTTTATACAAATTTAGTGAGGTCTTTATTATGGACTTCAACTTTTATGTTCCAAGCTCCTCACATTTAACTTGATCCAAACAGAGCGTTAGACGAGGGTCATATATACAACACATTTTGTACATATTGTCTGAGATAATCTTCTTTTCTGTAGATTCAGAGTTCACAAATGAGTAATACAACTGGATTGAAGCATAGAAACACAAATATTGACACATAAAAACCTGTCAGATAGAAAGTCAGAATGCCACTTATGCATCAAAATTGAAAAAGCTATGAAATGCTTATTTTGACCATAATATGCCCAAATTGGTCATTTTTGCAGAAATTCTATCAAATAAAAGTTTAAATCCTTTAGTTTTATGCTATTTGACAAATTGACATCATCAAATCATTCAGGGAAGTTGCCAAAGTACAGATTCTATATTTCCTGATTTCACCTCTTAGGTCCGAGTACACAGTTATTTCGTAGTGCATTTCTTTTAGACAATACATGAAAATTAAAAAAATCCCAGCTGCGCTTTCTCAATAATATTTTTACAGTGTGTTGTACTACTTTTGGGACAAATTATATCAAAATTATAGAAAACTTCATCGGCTCTAACTCAAAATATGGACAATTTTATGTTAAGGGGGTCTTCAAATCTTTTGACAGCTTCCGAAGTGCTAATTTTTAACATTTTTCAGCTGGACCAAATCACTACTTTACTTTAAAATTCATGACCCAATTTTTTTTACAGTGTCATTTCACCCCCCTACTTGCTATTTGAGTCATAAAACATGGAGAAATAAATTTGAAAGGGGTATAAAAAAAAAATGGCAAGTAACACACTGTCAACACTAGGGACTACATCGAAAATCAAAGGACGATAACTGTGTACTCGGACCATATCGTTTTTAGTTTTTTTTTTAAATTAAATAATTTGATAGAAATATGTGTGTTTTTCAACGTTGATCAAATAATTTACAGAAACATTTTAGAAACCGAGATTAAGAGATAAACTGTAGCCTACATGTTTTAGCCGTTATCAGATTGGTGTAATGTTCTCTGCAAATAAAAGATGTTTGCTTTATCTATCACAATGAACTTATTAAAATTAGGACATCATTGACACATCTGTATCTTATTTGGACCAATCAAGGCGACATTATTTTACCGATGTTAAGAATCTCGTGAATATAATTGTTGATTTCATCATAGTTGTACATTTACACTCAGTCTGACAATCACTTGACATCGAAGTCTAAGTATAGTGTCAAATGTTGGTATTTATTTAAGCGGTGTATTTTTCCGTTCCTAAGTACCCATGAAAAGTGCATATATAGCTTAAATTCCCGGCCTCGTAACTACTGAAGTAGTTTAATTAATTACTATTAATCGTTTTATGACTAGAGTGAAACAACTGCCTTGAAAGCAACCTTCTAACAATGTTAACAGACTTTTAACTGCCAGGACGGTCGATACTTCATAACTATCTTTACTTTCGTCACATGCATACGAGCAACTATCTTTGGAAGCAACATCTATATCATTTTCCATTAAGCTGGTTCCCAACTGACTACTACTATTTGTTCAGAGCGTAAATACAAGCCGATTCCAGTTTATTAATCCATTTCATACCTCAACCTTACGTTGGATGTCACATTAGTTGGTACTACATAGATCAACGTGAACACTACCAACTAAGCGATCAAACATGTTTGGTGTTTTGAATTTCAACCACGCTTCGTATAAATATTCTGTACTGTTAAAATTGTGACATGATATAATAAAGTTGAATTCCATTCTCCTTACCTCATCGTTGACAAATCTTTCGTCGTGTAATATCTTTAAACCTAATTTCTGTGCAACTAATGATACATACACATCGTCAAGATATATCGGTTTCATATAAGGAAATGCTATTCTCAATTTTCGTACGACATTAATGTGAGTTAGAACAGATCCACCTGAAAGAAACGGCGGTAGAATAAGTGGCTGGTATTCTCTTTCTGATATATACCATTTGCTATATTTTGATTTTCTTGATCTCACCGGATCTCTATTACACTGCTTATGTCCAAACATCACATCTCTTCCGGATCTAATTTTTTCACGAGAAAATTTTAACAGGTTTGGTATAGTTACAAAATAATCGTCGTCAACAAAAAAGACAAACTGGCTGTTTGAACAATTCGATACAACCCAGTCATATGCCATCAATGTTTTATATATGTTATTCCTGTATTCGTCATTAAATGAACCTTGAACTATATCTTTGTGTTCAGCATATTCATACCTTGCATGTTCAACAAACTCGGTGGAATATCCTAGAAGGAAAACTACTCCTACATTTTCCCCATGACATTTTCCCCATGTGGAGCGAATCGCTTCTCTTTGGTCAAAATGTCCAACGGAAGACTTAACTAATATTATAAGTTCGATATCAGCTGAACATGTGACACTGAATATTGTGGTATAATGGTTGTACATATTATTTATTGGTTCGCTAGAGGTCATGCCTTTGTCTTTTATCTCATTCACAATATATTTCACATCGTTTAGAGGATAATTATAATGAAATCCATAACAACGTTGCTGTTTCTTTAAAACTTCCATATAGAAACAAACCATAAAAGTCATTAAAAGAACAGCTAGAATTATAATGATAAATTCGTGTCTGTGTAGTAATATAGAAAACATTACTATCCTGACGGTTCCTTCGTACTTTTTACTGTTATTTCAGGCGAACTAACCTAAAAAAACTCCAAATATTAAAAAATATATTAGTGCACTTGACATATAAGCTTCCTTATTTTTATATTAACTGAACATACCTGTAATACACAAAATACATATATCGGAAATAAACCAGTAGTAATATGATGCTCTTTTCGACTGATTAGTGTTACACCATTGTCAAAGGTTAGGAGCTAACAAAAATGTTTAACCCCGCAACATTCTTTACGTCAATGTGTTTTTATCACGAAGTATGTGGTTGTTCTTTTAGTCGTAGGTCATAATTGTTTTCAGTGTAATATAATTTTCTTCAAGCAGAACATTTAGTTTTGCCTTTTAAACTGTTTCACTTTTGATATCCTGTGGCCTTTTACAACTTACTATACGGTATAAGTTTCTCACATTGTTGAAGGCCATATGTTCACCTTAAGTTGTTTACACCCTTGATCGTTGGTCTTTTGTGGATGGATGTCTCATTGGCAAACATATCACATTTCCTTATCTATGTCGGGAACGTAAGGACTGTCTCGTGCAGTATACAGTAATTTTCTTAATATTTTTGTTCGTTCTTTTAATTTCCGTTGTATTTTTGTTTATTTATACATTGGTAACCGTGCTAAAAGGGAGGTTATGATGAAAATACGTCATAGATTTGTTCATATATATATGTATATGAGCAATGTTACATTGGAATAAGGATCGTTTTAATTTGCATTGTGACTTGACTCAATAACAAGTGTTTATCTATGCTATCAATTAATATTTTCTTGATTTTCTCTTGCATAGCTTTATGCATATAAAGACAATTGACGTGTTCATGTGACGCACATGTATGAGGGTCTAGATGGGGTTTACAGAATAGAGCAAAATGTGCAGAATAAATGGCAAAATATAAAAAGAATAGAGAACTTAAAACTAATTTTCTTGTGGAGAACGGGACACATATTGAAGAATTTAGGAGTTCCATTTGTAAGTGTTTGCAAGGGCGATCATTTTTGCCCACTGTGCATTAATAAGACGACAATACTAAAGAAATGAAGAATAATGGCAAACCTATTTTTTTAATTGCTTCTTTAAGATTAATTAAAACTTTTCTAGACGCTAGACACATGTCTACTGTGGAAGACCGTCTAGAAGTCTGAAGCCTACTAGACGTTTATCCCGCATATCGTTTTATTCAGAGGCGATTATTTCACAAAATTTTGGAGAAACCCTAACTTACATTATTCGGTTTTATGTACAAAGCTTGGCGAGTTCAAACGGCAGAGAAGTTGAATATTATTCTAACTATAAGATATTTTTATGGGGTGCATGGGGGTGAAAAGTATGGCATTCTTTAAATGATTATATTACTGTATCTCTCTTTTGAGAAGGTAACCATAAACACACAATTGGATTAAGCATCTTATCATCACAACCCTGCTAAAACAACTGGGTGGAATTTTACAGAATTCAGAAACAATGCTATTTTGCCATTTTGCACCTCATATTTTTTTAATTTCGATCCTACAATGTATATCATCCGTATCGGTCCAGTTTGCAAAAACTGCTTAATTTTTATATTTATTTTCATTTTATTTTGTCCTGAATATGCATGAAACATTTGCCACTGGGTGTCAATTGAACAACAATCAATCAATAAAATTGCTACTACTCCAAGGATTTCTCGTGGTCTTTCTCCAAATTGCTACTCCCACAAGGATTAATTTCTCATGGTCTTTCTCTAAATTGCTACACCCCCAAGGATTTTTCATGGTCTTTCCCTAAATTGCTACACCCCAAGGATTTCTCATGGTCCATCTTTAAATTGCTACACCCCAAGGATTTCATATGGTATTTCTCTAAATTGCTACACTCCAAGGATTTCGCATGGTCTTTCTCTAAATTGCAACACCCCAAGGATTTCTCATGGTCTTTCTCTAAATTGCTAAACTCCCAAGGATGTCTCATGATTCTTCTCTAATTTGCTACACCCCCAAGGATTTCTCATGGTCTTTCTCTAAATTTCTACACCCCAAGGGATTTCTCATGGTCTTTCTATAAATTGCTACACCCCAAGGATTTCTCATGGTCTTTCTCTAAATTGCTACACCCCAAGGATTTCTCATGGTCTTTCTATAAATTGCTACATCCCCAAGGATTTCATATGATCTTTCTCTAATTTGCTACACGCCAAGGATTTCCCGTGGTCTTTCTCTAAATTGTTACATCCCCAAGGATTTCTCATGGTCTATTCTAAATTGCTACACCCCCAATGATTTCTCATGGACTTTCTCTAAATTGCTACACCCCCAACTTGGGCCAAGGATTTCTCATGTTTTTTCTATAAATTACTACACCCCAAGGATTTCTCATGGTCTTTCTCTAAATTGCCACACCCCCAATGATTTCTCATGGACTGTCTCTAAATTGCTACACCCCCAACTTGGGCCACGGATTTCTCATGTTCTTTCTATAAATTGCTACACCCCAAGGATTTCTCATGGTCTTTCTCTAAATTGCTACATCCCCAAGGATTTCTCATGGTCTTTCTATAAATTGATACACCCCCAGTGATTTCTCATGGACTTTCTCTGAATTGCTAAACTCCCAACTTGGGCCAAGGATTTCTCATGCTCTTTCTATAAATTGCTACACCCCAAGGATTTCTCATGGTCTTTGTCTAAATTGCTACCCCTCCACGGATTTTTCATGGTCTTTCTCTAAATTGCTACAGCCCCAAGGATTTCTCATGGTCCTTCTCTAAATTGCTACACCCCAAGGATTTTTCATGGTTTTTCTCGAATTGCTACACGCCAAGGGTATCTCATGGCCTTTCTCTAAATTGCTACACTACAAGGATGTCTCATAGTCTTTCTCTAATGAGACAAAAAGAAAGGAAATGTTCAAGAAAATAAATTCCACTATTTGTTGTTATATTTAAATTTAACTGGCATATGCATCGGTGAATTGTATATATCATTTACAAAACAATAAACATAAAAGAAAAACTACTGATACTTGCCGCATAATCTTCATCAATGATTCCTATGAGCTTTCAAGAACTCTTTAAATTTTGCTAAATGTGGAGATATTGGATGGTCTACAATAAATACAACAAAATGTCGAAGTTTGAGACTGTATTTTAAACTTTCGAATGTAGATAAAAATAGACTTGCAAAAGTGAAACGTGAATCGAGTAACACAAAACAGCGCTCCCGGCATTCCCTTGTACTGGAATTCTTTCGAAAATGTGAGCTTAGCTATTTGATGAACGATCAAAATATGACAACCCGACAAAAAGTTATCATTTCAAAATGTTGCTGAAACATTGTTAATAAATTTTAATAAACTTAAAACGTTCCGACGGCATAAAAACTACCTTCAACCAAGCAGGTATGGTGTGGCTCTTTACCGCTCGTCATTGAAACAGGACGTTACACCAACAGTTTAAGTGAAAGAATTTGTCAATTTTGTGATGTGATTTCAATTGAAACTGAACAACATTTTTTAATGAACTGTAATTTTTATTCTGACTTTATAGAGGAACTTTTTGATTCACCCATTCTACCAAATGATGTGTTGATTACCTTGAGTGTGGAAAAGAAATTTAATATATATCATGAGCGGTGATGACATTCAATTTTTATTAGCAAGAACATTGAATTTCATGTTTAAGAGGAGAAAGATAAATTTATTACTACTAAGTAGCTTAAATTTTTTTAATTCTTATTTCTTTGAATATTACGACTTTTGATTACTTCTATCGTTCTACTTTTTAGCGATCAAAGGTCGATCTTAAAACTAGTTGATAATACTATTGATTAATTTTTTGTAATTTTGAAAACTTATTTCTTAATTGTGTATGCATTTAATGGGCATGATGTTAAAGTGTCTCGTATGTCTCATAATGCTCTTATCTGGTGTATGATATTTCATTGTGTATTATTAGATTGTGACACTGTAATAAACTATTTACTTACTTACTTACTTACTTCACGGTAGGTATAGTGTCCGCCTGGGATCGTGGTTTTTCGAGTGTGACCACTTTTTTTCGAGTGAATATGATAAAAAATGTAAACAAACAGACTTCCTTTCTGGTAAAACCTGAAAAAAAGGATGCTAGAACCTTATATACAAGATCATAGAAGGTAAATTAGTATTTTTGATAAAAAGATATTATCAACCCTACATTATTTTGTTTTAAAAACGATTAATTTAGCCTTACAATGCTTCATTCCAAAATATAGATTAAAGCCATTTTTATACACATACCAATGCAAATGTCAACGGAAATGTGTACATGGGCAGTTTCCAAAATTTCTTGTTTTTTGCATTGAAAAGGACATTTTGGAGAGTAAATTCATTTTTATATGTCCGCGTTTTTCCGAGAGCAGTCCGTGTTTTTTCGAGTGTTTCCTTGTTTTGTCGAGTGAAAAAACAAAATTCCAATGGCTTAAAATGTAATATGTCAGTGCATTTTCGTTTAAAAAAACAACGAAAAGGTTCAAATATAGTACTTTTCAAAGCACGAACAATGCATTAAACCATTTTGAGAATGTTGTATTAACACGTAAATTTCATAAAAAGTCATCGTTCATTTGCATTCAGAAATCTTCATGTTAGTTTACCGATATGGATTTCATACAGTTGATATTTCGTGATGTGAACAATCTTTATGTGAGCACAGACTAAGACGTACGTGCACATAGTGTGTAAAGCGGGTAAATGTGGGTTGTTTTTTTTTACAGAAAATATATCCTTAATGTTTCATTTACTATTCGTCTTGATGGTAATATTAGCTGTCTTGGTGTTATCAGGATTGTACAGAATTTTACACCGGTGTTGAAAATCTATACACCCTGAGGCGCAGCCGAAGGGTGTGTGCATTTTCAACACCGGTGTAAAATTCCGTACACCCCTGATTGCACCAAGATAACGAATTTATTTCTTATTTAGCGTTCGTTTACTATTTTTATTCCCGGGAATAAAATTGAAAAAAAATCTTATGACGAACTTCCACTACACATTTTTTCAACACCGACGTTGCTGCGCATTGTCAAATATTATCCTTTTTTTTTATTTGTGGAACATTTGAAAATTTCATTATTTGGGGAATATTGGAGAATATTTTTTTTATTTACTTGGATTTATAACAAAGCTTTCTAAAATCATTTACCTCTAAGGGAGACAGGGGAATAGAATTATGGTCACTTAAGTCCTCTTCCGACCGGCAGTAAAACCCTTGCCAAAGTGGGACGTCCGTTTGGCTGTGTGGGATGTTCAAGTACACAGCCACGTCCGGTCAGAATGGGGCGTGTAGAGAGTGCTACGCTCATTGCATGTTAAGAACCCCTGTAAAAGCTTTTTGAAGGGTCCGTAGGTGGCCTGTTGCAAGGCAAAATTTCTGTCAATATCCAATATACTCTCATTTTTCGTGGCAGTCTTAATTTCCAGACCTTTATCCCGAACGTCCTCTGTTACAGGACCTACTTATTGGAATTATTGTTAATTTGTTCTCGTCCTGAACATGCATGACACATTTGCCACTGGACGTTAAGCAACCAACAATCAATCATTTAGAATTGTCCGTTTATAAATTTAAAAATTGTAAAAAGGATAAGGTTTCATCCCTCAGGCAAAGTTGACCGTTGATGGATTTGGCTATTTTTTGGTCCTGTTGTTTTCATTTTTTTTTTAGATTGGGTTGGGGGGGGGGGGGGCTCTTTTATTAGAATATTTGGGTTTATATATATTGAATTTTTCTGATTGTTTATTCCTTTTTCTTAATTTTCTTGCTCCTATGTTTTTTCGTCACTGTAATATATATCAATCATTAAATATTATTGACTGTAAAAACAAAGGTAGCATGCAATGAAGTTAAAAAGATTATGAGTCCCTGTACTAGGTTCTTAAGACCGTTTTAAAAAGGCCCATTGATTTCATATATATCGTAATACTGCAAAGTTATGGTAAAATGTTTTCAGAACAGAAATTTATCATTAAATTGAAAATGGTTAAATTTGATCAACATAGTAATCTGTTTTTGTGACTTATTAAGACTATATAGTATTGTCCTTCGCTAAATTACAGTTATAAACTAGAAAAAGTCAGTTTTTAGGCCAAA